GTAATATATATATAGTACTGCAGAACTGTGCACCCCCGCCCCCCCACCCTTTTCTTTTCCCACATGTCTGCAGAAGGAAGGAGATGCTCTGTATCTCATTGTACATGTGTATAGTGACAATAAAAGGAATTCTATTCAATTCTATTTTATTTGTATTTTGTCTTTTGGGGGTTTTTTTGGTTTAGTTTGGTATTTTTTGGTCTGTCAGAGCTCTTTTGCCTTTATATTATGTTCTCAGTTAAAATCAAACAGCAACATCTCGAGCTGAGAAACTAAGCCAAGATGGAAGTGCCAGAATCTGCACCTTCTCCAATGGCCACTTGAGACTGACTACAAAAGTGAGTCAATTCCCACAGACTCCAATGTGAAAAAATGTTGAAAACAGAATTCAGTATTCAGCCTGGTTTTGTTAGCTGATAGTTGATAGTCTGTGTCTCTGAGAGAGAGCAAGAGGGAGGGAAAACCCCAACAAAACAGCGTGGCAATAGTTCAGAGGTCACCAGATGATAGCATGGTGGCTGTGTTCATCTTTTATTTACAGTTTTGGGGCAAAATTAGCTAGAACCTTGGGGGTAAACAAGATGTTCATCTAAGAATATGTTGTAACCCAATGATGAATTCTAATTATTTAATTGTTTTAATTTGTGGCTTTTAAGCAGTATAGTCAGATAATCTTTTGCCAAATATAATTTCCAGCAGTTGTGTTGAACCTTTGGTTTTAATTCCTCTGTAAATCTCTTTCCTGTGATCTGTGGATATTGATGTTTCATCAAAAGTTTCAACTTAAGTTAAAACTACTGCATCTTCTTGTTCTGCGTTTATCTCAGTCCTTGAGACGCAGCAAGACATTTTGCCGTTTCAGAACTGTAGACGAGCTGTAAATGTAAATATTTATTTAATGAACACTAACAAAATCAGCATAAAGGAGAATCTAATTAATAATTAAATTCAAAGTTTTACTTTTATGTAACTGGTTTCTCAACTTAAACTTTCTTAGGATACTGCATTTTGAGTGGTCAAGCACACTGCTAAGGTTTTAACCGATGGCACACAAAATGCTGAGGCTATCGGCGTATTCCCTTTGCTACATGTTGACACAGAGTACCAAAATCTCTCTCCACTCTTCCCTTCTGTCTCCATCATTCCTCCATGAATCCTTAAAAAGAATTGAGGGAAACTAAGCAAGGAATGGTGAAAGGCAGTTATAAACACTGCTTTGTGGGATCATAACTGCAACACACACACACACACACACACACCATCACATCTAAAAGCAGGATAGGAACACCTGTGGAGAGGGAAGGCGGGGACACAAAGGATGCACCCTGCTCTCACCCAGTGGTGCTGGAAGGAAGGAACCCAAATTTACCTACACGGGTGGGAATCATCACACACACACACACCCCTGAGACCCAGGTGTGCACAACTGGGAGGGGCCCGCACCAGCAGGACCACCAGCAGAGCGGCTTAAAGGGATGTGCGGCGATAATTGTGCATGTGAAATTACTAGCAGGGTGCGTCTCTCTTTCCACATTTAGCCATCAATTCTTATTGGATCAAATTATAATTAACAACACATATACAAATATTTATATTTAGAAGTTCTGCACGACGCTGCCAAATGTAGGCTGAGCAACTGGTGCAGTTTTCTCTCAGTAAATGTGCCAAGGCGTCCATGATACAGTGCTCAGATGATTTCCTCTGTAAAGTTCAAATGTCATTTAGATGCATGTATTTGCAGACTAGGATTGTAGCTAGACTATTAGAAAATGATTTTACTGCTCTGTTTCTGTTTAAAAGATTCATTTGTTTTATCCCTGACGCGAGAGCTTATATAAACACTTTTATAATTGCCTGCTGATACAAGCCGGTGTGAAATTGCATTAGCATTCTTTCTTTCCCCTCTTCACTTCTGTTTAGTGACTCTTCACTGCTGTCACTGTAGACTGCTGTAACTGGCTGTCTAACTGAGGCACTTAATGTGCTCAAGAGCCAGCTGTCCCTCAAATAACACACTCAATAATTCATATTGCGCGGCGCACGCCACCACACACATACTCGCTGCATGCGCCTTTGTGCGTGCGTGTTGTTAAGATGCAGGTCAGACCCGGAGTTTGTGTGTAAACTCGGCAAGGAGGCAACAACATAAGTGCTGACCAGCCTAGGAGAGGGAATCTTTGCTCGCTAAAGAGGCATTAAAAGTGTGTGTTTGTGTGTGTGTTTGTGCAAAAGAGATAGTGATGGTCACTTTAGGTGTGTATACAAGGAGAGGCTGTGTGTGTATGTGCGTGTGCCCTCTTTACTAATGGAAATCAGATCTCTCATGTGTTGAGCCAGCAGAAGTAGAGCAGGAGATCCATCATGTCAGACCCGGGTCAAAGTAGCAGGCCAAACCTCTCACACACTCTCCAAGTAATTTCCCCGAAATGTTTAGATTCAGCCAAAACTCAGCTCTTTAATTAACTAATAGAAGGGCATTTTGAGATCAGATGCAAGATTGTTACACAGGCAAGAAAACTGGTGAGCGTGGCTGGTCAGAGCACTTAAATATCTACATTTGCAAACTTGTGCTTTTCTCCCCAGCGATAGCTACACTCCTGTACGCTGTTTTAAGAGAGTCGTTGAATAATAAGTCTTGAATCGAGTCCAAATAAAGACAAAAGTCCTGATTAGCAAAGTGGAATTGAGCACTATTTCTTCATTAGTCAAAGTTACATGCACGGTCAACGACTCTTTCAGCGCTAATCAATTATAGAAACTATTCTGATTTGAATGAATTACTATTTTTGGTCCCAAGTGATTTTTGGTTATGCATGCCCTCTCAAAACCTAACAGTGCAACTTTCCCACCGTTTTCTGGGATGAATCAAACAAATGTGTAGAAATATCACTCGTGAAATTTTTTCGCTGCAGCCCGAGGCCAATCGCATTATTTACTGACAAGTTTTCAGGGCTTGGCTGTCTTTTTTTCTCTGTCTTTTTTTAAGGTCACATTTTCTACCCATAAGCTAAGTCGTAGTTTAGCAGTAAATCTCAATAAATTCAGGTCCAAGTCATTTTTAAAGTGCTTTCTTGTGAGTGAGAATTCTTGAGAATGATCTATGAAAGAGAAAATACCCATCGAGTGGCAGTTCTATGCCCTCTTAATATCAGGAGTCAGAGGAGAATGGCCAGATTACCTCAAGCAGATTAGAACTAAAATAACCACTTGTTACAGCCAAAGTACGTCTCTGGATCGACACATCGACTTGAAGATGGCAGCAGAAGATCACACTGGGTGTCACTCCTGTCACCTTAGAACAAGAAACTGAACCTACAATACACACGGGCTCACCAGAACTTAACAGGAGACTGGAAAAACATTGTTTGGTCTGATGAGTCTCGATTTCTGCTGAAATGTTCAGATGTTAGGGTCAGAATTTGGAATAAATAACGTGAAAGCATGGATCCATCCCGCCTCGTACGACTGGTTCAGGCTGGAGTTGGTGTAATAGTGTGGATGTTATTTTTTTTGCAACACAGTCCGGGCATATTTATTGACTATTCAAAATACATAATCATATACTGGAGGTCTTTTTTAATACATAAATTCTAATATAGTTTTAATAGGGTTGCTGACTTATTGGACTGCTTACCATGTGAAAAACAGCCTGGTCTTGTTTCACAGGCAAAGCTCTGCATAAACAAGCAGTTTACAGTCCAGCACACCTCCTCAGGTGAAGGAAGAGTCTTGTGAAAGTCAGGGGAGACCGCGGCTTCCCAATCCTGGCCGGACTTCATCGTCTTCTCTTTCTGCTCTGCTGCTTTGACAGGCAAAGACCACCCCACCCTTTTTCTTTCCCTCCCCGCTCTGCTCTCCTCTCGTCCACCCCCACAAAAGCCAGATGATGTGCAGGCTCCACAGAGCAGGACTTTCAAACGATATCATTACCATTTCAAAGAACCTGCCGCTGTCTTACAGACCTACAAGCCGTGGTATGGTATAGCTATTGCCACAAACTGCGTCATCACTTTGTACTGTTTTATAGCTAAATGATGGCCAGCTCCTGCATGTTACACATGTCAGACAGTGGGAGGGCAGTGCAGCGTTGCAATTAGGGAAAAGAAATCGATGCTGTGCGCATCCGCAATTGTTGCAGTGGATCCTGTGAAGCATCGCTGCTTCTTGTCAGTGTTTCAAACAAAAGCCTGTTTTGTTTTTTTTCTGCTGTTGTCAATTACATGGCAGATATGGAGCAGAGAAGGACTACAGGCCTCTGAAGATACACACTAAACAACAGTCAAACAGTTAGGAGGACATGATTTTCATCTGATAACTTGCTACCCACAAAAAGAGGCGTCCACACTGTGCCTAAGGAGCTCCGTTAACCCACAAACAGTCTGCCTCATTTAAATACTGCTGAACACAAACACACAAGCACAGGCTTAAGCACCCAGCAGTTCCTCCTGCAACATTAATGTCCTCATTTATCCTCTTATGCACAAATGTCAACCTTTGTTAGCCTTCATCCCTGCCTCTCCCTCTCTGCCACCTTTAGCTGCCCTCCACTCCTTCACTGGCTCATCCCCACCTAAAAAAACAAAACAAAAATAAAACTCCTTTGTATTTGCTTCCCTGCTTTATACCCAATTCATTACTTCTCCCATACCAGCCTATTCCTTGCCTCCCGTCTGTATTCCCCTCACTGTTTCACACACTCATTTCCATCCCTCCCTCCTCCTCTGCATAGATATTGCACAGTTCTCCAGCAGGCCTGCCTCACTTCTCCCTTGTTTTTGTTTCATTGTCTTTTTTTCCTCCCCATTTCTCTCCCTCTCTCTACTTGGGGATCCTCTAGTGACATCATCACTCCTACAGTTACCATGGTTTCTGAGAGGAGAAAAAAAACCAAGAGAGATGTAATAACTGTTTGGATCAGACAGACATTCTTTGTGCCAGCGCATCTCTCTCTCACACACACACTCACACACACACACACACAAAGACAAGGCTGGAGAGAATACAAGGAAATACTCTTTTATTACAGGATCAAGGTACAGTTAGCAGGTTTGTGTGAAACAGTCGTGTGTTTGAGAGGTCAGGTCAGTGTTAACGATGGCTCTGTGTGAACGAACAAGTCTTCGTCGTACAGGTCTTCGTCCAGGTCACCGTCCTCTTCTGTGAAGTAGGTCGGAAAAGGAGGGTTGAGCAGGGTGGACCTTCTGCTCGGTAGCACAGTGTCTCTTACCTGGAACACATAGAAACACCGCTACTTAATTTTCTTAGTGACTAAAAACTTATTTATGAAGCAAAAATATAAATATATATAAAAAAGCAAAAGTCAGGCTACTGAAGATAACGTTACACGTGCAGTGAGGTGTTTTGTTTTGTGAGCGATCGAGCAGCTTTTTAGTGTGATGGACGAGCTGCACGACGGTATCTGATACGTGATTTAGAGTCTCTTATCTTCTCCTCCAGCCTCCTGAAACTGTGCAAAGACAGACTGGACAAATGCCTCGCGTGGGCTGTCTGCTCCTTGATCTTTAACTGAAACCAACATGGCAGCTTCTCCCGAAACTTTCAAAACTAGTCCGTAAAATGAAAGCATTTGAGGAGAGTAATAAGCCATGTAGTTATCGAATGGGTCTACATTCTAGATCAATAATCGCTAGTTTCAAAGTCTCTTCCTCGTTTTTAAAGATGGCCAGTTATTTTGTATCCTCCTGTTTTTTTTACTTCATGCAAGTAAACACCACGCTACCAGAATGCACGAGCTTTCACAGATGATCGTCGAAACTGAGCTAGGGAGAGATGTGAGGTTAAAACATGAAACAGCAAACGCGCAAGAGGAAGTGCATCAGTAACTCATACACAAACGCCATCATCTCAGCTCATGGCAGTGTCCTTCCATGCTTTTCTACTCTGAAAATATCGGGGCGAATGTATTACTAGCTTTAAATTCATTGTTGTTCCTCAGAACATAACTTTTCTCCCCTGGCTCTTCAACCTTTTTTTTAAAATTTCACCTAGACTGGAGCTAATACACCGCTGTACAAATTACCTCCTTTAGTCATTTATAATTAGCGGTCGGTCGTGTACTCTGCTTGAAAACAATTTGCTCCACGAGGAGCATTAAATAAATCACGCTTGGAATTATTTCTGACTGACTAGTTGTTCTATTTAGTGTTTACCATCAGTCTCACTGAACCCTGAAACACAGTGTGTATACAGATGTACGAATTGCAATCAAAGACTTCGGCACCTGTGCCCATAAAAATCAAAACTAAGCTTGATCTCCCCTTTAAGATCACGTCATTGTGCACCTTCACATCACTTCTAGTCGCGTTCCAACCGCATCCATCCATCAAGAAACCCACTCTTCCTCCATCACCTCTTCCATCTCATCTGGTAGTACAGTGAGTGATTTCCAAGCCAGCTGAGAAATAAAATCTCTCCAGTGTGTCCTGCGTTTGCCACAAAACTCCCTCCCTGTAGTACAAGCCCGAAATACCTCGTTTAGGAGGCATTCAGGAAGTATTCTAGTAAGATCCCTGAATCACCTCCACTGGCTCAATATCGGCTTTTCAAAGCAACCCTTTGAAGGAAACTTGTTTTTATCGCTTGTATTCGTGATCTCATTCTTTCTGTCACTAACTAGAGGTCACGGCGTTTGGTGAGAGTGGAAACACAGACTGACCGGTAAATCACAGCTTCACTTTTAAGCTCAGCTGTCTTCACCACCACAGACCAGCAGACATTTGCATCACAGCTGGCGATGCACCAAAACATCTGTCAGTCTCCTACTCCACATTCACCTGTGCATGGTTTTTACACACTGGATCTCCCTTAAGTGTGTTACATAAAAGTTTCACTTTAAAACTGTTTTGGTAAAAAGGACAATCATGGGGATCCAGATCTACAAAGTACAGTAGGTGGTGAGCACTGATTGTGCAGATGTGGACAAAAACTTTTCAATGCAATGTGAATGGGCAGATGTTGTCCTCACACACCCCAGCTTGGAAGTCTGCATTGATAGTCTGGCCACAGATGAACTCATGCAGGTGGTCAGAACGGGATTTCCTCGGAGTGAACAGGAATGCTGAAATGCTCACAGCACTTTGCAGTTGCCAAAATTTAAAATTTCCTGCAGCCACAAAACCTTTTGACAGCACCTTTCCATCCCTCCACCGCCTACTCTCCTGACCCCAACATAGAAACCAGTGTCCTAAGTGATTAATCAAACAGTCAGCACTGAAACCAATAATAAAAATTATCATTAATTGCAGCCAGATTTAATTTAAATTAATAAACCATGACTGGTCCTCATGTACAAAGGGACATTAGGGCCCCTCTGAATGATTAAAAAAAACCATGAACAAGCATTAATAACCTGCATGTGTGTCCTTTGGGGCTCTATAATCTATAATGAATCCAGGCGTGTGTTTGTGTTGCACACAGCTGAGCTGGGTGAAATGCAACACGCATTTGTATTCATTATCGCTTGTCTGCAAAACAAATAATAGCCTGCATCTATGTTTCAGCAATACACACACACACAGAAAGCACAACATGCTGAGTATGGAGATGGATGCTTTGGGTAATCCTAACATCGTTAAGGAGCATGCTCCCATTCCCCCACAAAACACACACACACACACACACACACACACACACACACACACACACACACACACACACACACACACACACACACACACACACACTGCTGATCCAGCACTGCGTCGATGAAGACTGATCACACCGTCTTGCAGGTGTGACGGTGTTTTACAGGTGCAAGGTCACTTGTCTCTGTATGAACACTAAGCATGCTGGGGTTGACCTTCGACTTCACACTCCACTTTGACTGTGTATGATTATATTTACCTTCAGTAAGCAGTTCTTGTGCCCGGGGACAGAGCCGTTAACGTACAGCACATTGTACTTGGTATTGACCCTCCATATCTGGAAGCGGGATAGAGAAGAGGCAGATGAAAGAATATTGAGCTGAAATTGCAGGCAAGGACAACCAAGTTTAAAACTAAGGCTCTTTAAGTTTATGTGTGTGTGTGTGTGTGTGTGTGTGTGTGTGTGTGTACCTTCAGTCCATAAGCAGTGATGTAGCTGTTGCCCATTTGGCCGGGCATCTTCTTCCCTTTGAAAACTTTAGCTGGATCCTGGAAGCAGACGATGAATATCACACATGTTCATATTAATGGATTTTGGGGAACCAAATGTTCACGTTTGGCATGGATGAACATCTTAACAAGCGTGTGTGTTTGTCTAACCCCTCCTGGTCCAGAAGCTCCCGGTCTGCGATGAGTTTTGGTTTGGCCGTGGGTGGCTGGTTGACCTTTAAATCCCCATCTCTTCATTACACCTTGAAAACCCTTACCGATTCTACAAACAAACACGCACCACAAAGTTTATTTACACACGCTCAGATTTCCAGATTACTTTTATGTTGACATATTTCTCCAGAAGGTAACAATATTTAAAAAAGGAAAGAAAAAAGGACAGACATGGAATTTCTTGTAAAGTCAAAAACTGAACTCTCTTCAAAACGTGACGCTGGGAAAGGGTAAGAAGCAGGAACAGGAGCCAAGCAGAGGAGCGCCAATGAGGAGCTGGCAGAACATAACTTACGATTTGCCCGTGACGTCCACATACTGGCCAGGACGGAAATGTGCTGCATACAGAGGAGTGCCTGAACATGCAACAAACAAGCCTGCATTACCAATCACGCACAAAAACCTAATAAGTGATCTTTCTTTGCAAAATTCAATGTCATTTCATACCTGGCTTGATGATGGCACTGTCGGAGACTTTAAAGGCAGTGACTTTCTGCTTTGGAGGCACTCCTGCGTTCCTGAATACCTCCATTTGTTTTTCAGACCTCTGTCAGGCATAGTGACGGAGCGCAAGAGAAAAATAAGAAGCAAGGAAATAAGGTGTTAAAAGAAGTAAATGCAGTAAGAAGCAGCTGGACTTTAGCGTTTTCAAATTAACCACGGGCCTGTTATGACTGTATGGGAGCCAAACACACTCGCACACAAAACGCACTCTAACAAGCGTACGCGCACACACTTGGCACTGAGAGTCTTTGACATTTGCTTTCACTCGGCTCGCTCTCATCTTAGCGCCTCCAGTCACTCTAAACTCTCTCTCTCTCCCCCCCTTCTGTTGACTGAAAATCCGTCTGCCAAAGCCTCTCACTCCAACAAACTCTGCTTCTGAATAAAGAGTGATGCGGCTGTGTGAAAAGGATTCAAAAACAACTTCACGTTGGACAAGTGAAATCCTGACACTGGCCCATTGAGCATGTACTGAGGCCCAGAAAAATAAATGACACCCTAATGTATTCGCACTTGTTCCTTTGTTTTTCATTTAAAAGAAGGAACATTTCGAGCATTTTAAAGCCAAAATCCTCCTTAAGAGGAGATTCTTTTTAAACCTGTTTTGTAGGAGGCAGGTTAGATTGCAGTATATGTTTATCAGCCAGTGATGCTGTCTTGCTTTTCAATTAATCGTATTATTGACTTCTGAGAGCAGTCATGGGGCCTTAAAGTTTATTACACTAGTTGTTACCAGACATAATTGTCATTTAATTTAATTGTTAACAGTTTAATTGATGTTATGCAGCCATCTTCAACCACATGTAGCTGCAGCCCTGACATCATTGTTGAAAACTGTCTGATATAGAGTGAAGAGTGCAGTTATTTAGGAGGAACTCAAGTATAGCTGCTCCTCCACATCGAAAGGAGGCAGGTCCTATAGGGAGAAGGCCACACGGTAGACCCAGGACACACTGGAGTAACTAGGGGGCATTGGTGTTACCCCGGATAAGCTGGAAGATGTGCCTGGGGAGCTGGAGGTCTGGGCTCTCTGTTTAGGTTGCTGCCACGGGATAAGCGGAAGAAATTATGGATGGAAGATTTTAACTTTGATTGAGATGGCTGTCATGAATCGTAAAACAATGCGTCATTTGTAATGCGTCATACTTTTCAGCGTTTCTTACCTTTAAACTAGTCTGTTAGTCTACGTGTTTCCTTGTTTAGTCGACTAAGAAATGAATCCCCATGAAAATCCCTGCTGTGTGTCCTCTTTATGCCATGATGGCAACACATCCGGAAGTGTCAACACACAGTCTAAAGCAAAGTTTAGCGTTCTCTCCCCAGCAGAACACTGCATAGTAATGAGGTGAGTGATGTCACTCATTTACACCCATCTTGTTTATTAATAATGTGTTTGATGGGTGCAAAATACAATCATTGATTGTTAACTGGAATTTCCATATGAAATTACCAATTCATTTCCATTTGGGGGGGAAGGGGATGACAAAGTTATGCATCCATAAAGCTGTCGCACTGATGAAATATAGCAACTCAACTCGTGAGTCAGCTGCATGTGGCACACATCGTTCAGTCGTGGACACTCAACACTTTGACAGGATAAAGTGTTTGGCAGCAGAGGCTGGTGGTGTTACAATTCAGTACAAACTCAACACTTTATCACCAGCTCAGCCCTCGTGTGAACACTCACCACAGCTTGACAGAATGAAAAAAATATGCTTTGTGAAAAGTATGAAACACTTAACATGAATTGCCGTTTTAAAAGGCCAGTGGCCACCTTTGCAGGATTGTTCTCCGAAAGCATAACCAGCGTGAAGCGCTGTCAAATGCACAAATTCAACCACACTTCTTCTACTTACGTGGAATGGGGACACATTTTTTCCTCCTACAATGAGAGCAGCAGAGTGTCCATCGTATTCTTCTTTGGACAGGCACTTTATTATGTGACAATCCTGCACCTGGAGAAAACAGATGCTGCATTATCAATCAGGTAGACAGCGCTGCCGCTGTACTTAATCTAATAAGAGCCAGGGCCACAGTCGTGATGAACGATGATAGAAATAGATGGTGGAAGAGTCTGGTGCAATATAACAATAACAATCAGCAAAGAGATAAATTCATCAAGATACATTACTGTAACAACAACTTCGCATCATTACGCACATTGTACAGTGTGTGCGATATCTGCACAACTGATGAAGGACATACACCACGTTAAAGTTTCATAACGTCTTTTAAAACCCACCATTTTAACCTGCCCTCCTGCTCTCGTTCCATTTGTTATGACGAGCCTTCAGCTTCAGTTCAGATAAAAACATGAACCCAAAAGCTAAAGTGGTGGGAGTAATTTCAATATTCAACTTGTCATCTTCTCTTTTTTTGTGTAGACCATTAACATTTCAGCTGAAGAGAAAATGACTAACTGTGACCGAAGTGAGTCAGCAGATGGGGATATGAGTTTCTTGATTGCCTTGAATCTCATATTAAAGAGAGGCGATGACAAAATTCAAATATCTGTCCAACTGTTGCCACTGACATTTCACTGAAAGTAAAATGCAAGTCGTGATCAATAAAGAGCAAAATGAGCACAAGCAGCCAGTGGTCGCTTCAGTTTACTTTAATGACAGATAAATCGATGGGAATAAAACGTGGTCTGAATAAAGCAAACATTTAGTATCTGCTCCTCACACCTTGCTGTAAAAGAGGACGAGCTTGTTTTAAATGTAACATCAAAGTCTGAAGGTGAGATTTTGAGTCCTAACTTTGCTATGCTTTCTCTCCACTATATTGAATAATCCAATTTATTAAGTTCACACATACATAATAAACATAAATGCCCGTTATCACTCCTGAACACCTGAAGACTATCTGCAGCTATTATGGATCAAAGCTAAGCCACAGCGGAAGTGTGATACCTGTAACATGGTGACTACATGTCTTTCGCCTGTTTTCGTCCAGACAGGCACCATCCCCAACTTCACAGCAACTAACCCGACTCTTCGGCTCCCTGGTGAGAGAACAGAGGAAAACGTGCTGAAGTTGCCAAGTGGATGGAAACGAGAACCATAACGAACACGGCTCTAACTAATGGTTGCACCCACCTTCTGTCCACTCATGTCGAGGCCACGGCTCGTCTTTGAGTGGGTTGAGCTTTTCAGCCGTTTGCCGTCTGTATTCCTCTGCCATGCTCTTCCTCATGTACTCCTGGTTGTCCTCTGTTAGGTTTTCCTCAAACCATGTTGTGGTTTTCGCTGTCCTGATACAACCAACCAGCAGGGCAGGACTGAAAGAGAAAACAAGCCATGTAACGCCCACAGTTAGAACAACAATGGTCAGACACACTTGCTTCCTAACAACATTACCACAGCCAAATATTTTAAAATAGCAAGAAAATAATCATTTTAATACTGTTATGTTGGTGTATGCTCATATTAAGCAGTAACTGTTTTAAGCTTTAAATGACAAGATCTACAAGTAATCCTCTTCCTTCTAGCGTTTGTCCCGCATGGCAGGGTCCACTTTGCGGCAAATCCGTCTCCATTTGGCACGACCGAGGGCGTCTTCCTTTATTCTATCCATCCACCGTTTCTTCGGCCTGCCACGGGGTCGCTGGCCACCGGGCTCAAGCCTCATTGCCGTTTTTGCCACTGAGCTGTCGCCTGAGCGTAATACGTGTCCGTACCACCGTAGCTGTGCCTTGTGCATTTTCTCCGTGATTGGTGCGATGCCGAGCCGCTTTCTGACGTCTTCATTCATGACTTGGTCCCAATGCGCGAGGCCTTGACACCATCCATACAGGGCAACTGGGCAGACTACAGTCTTGTAAATCATCACCTTGAGATGGTCTGGCATTCGACGGTTGCATAGCACATCCGTCACTTGACGCCACTTCATGCGGCATTGACCCCAGCTCCCACGTCTGGAAGAATATCCCCGTCGCCACTGATCATCGATCCCAAGTACGTGAATCGGTCGGCCTTCTTCAGGTCTTCACCGTCGATGTTAATGGTGCCATCAGTTTGGGGATAAGCTTCCATGTACTTGATCTTCTTGATGTTGAGTCTCAAACTATGATCGGCCAGGTGCATCTCATGGTTTGAGACTCAACATCCATGAGTCTCAAACCATGAGACGCGACAAGATCTACAAGTAATCCCTGTAAGGAAAAAAGACCCTCAGGCTTCAGATTGCCCTAAACACTCAATTTTCCCCACACTTGGCCCTGTACGATTTCAGCAATAGCACATATCCCTAATAAAGTCATCTCAGGCAATCAGCACTAACTCTGAGCATAAACGTCCCACCCTATGCCACTGAAAAATCATTTTAAGTTTCAGTTTAATTTCTGAATCACTATCTCAAAATTTCAACTTGATAACTCAAGATTTCAAGTTATTTCCTCAGAGGTTTGCATTAATAAGCTGGAATTTTTGGAAAACCCCAAACTCTGAGTTATGAATGCTAAAAAAAAATAAAAAACTTTTAGTGGCAGAAAAAAAATGTCCACCTGTCTTCTGCTCAGACTTTCTGTTTATGAGGTGCAGCCAACAAGAAGAAAGCTGGTTTAAGGAAAAAAGAACTAAATGACTTGCTTCTGACAATGGATGAACTGGGACAGCACCAAAGCCCAGTACATACAAAACAATGATTCATTCAAAGCTTCTCTGATAGAAATAGGTCCACAATAGATCCACATTAATGCACTGAAAATCCTTAAAGCACCACTGGATAATCTACACTGAAATTTGCCTCACTGCTTCAGATCTCAAACTACTCCTCAATTTTAGTTTACTTAGCTAAAAAAACACAACAAAAAACACTCATCAGTCTGCTGCTGCAGTGAGTCGGGTCATTGCAGTGTCCTTGCTGATGCATTAACAAACAGGTCCGGACATTTACATAGACAGTTTGAGAATATCAAGTGTCACATGGGACTGAGTGAAGCCTGGTGGCTCGTTGTTAGTTCAAAGTATTCTTGCCTGCCTGCAGAGGGACATCAATATTCCTGATCTGCAGTGTTACAGGTTAATGTGCAACTGTAATGATGAAATCTGTCTCTAACAGTCATAAAAGACTTTTGTTCCCAAATTCAGCAATCACATAACATAGCTATTAATCAAAAAAGGTATATTTTTACAGAAGGTCTTCTTGAAACCTGCACTTTCATAGGAAAAAAGGACAAAAGCAAAATGAAGAGGCTTATAGCATCATACAGAATAAAGGAAATGTTGATATTTCCTTAAACTTTGCTTTTTGGTATTAAATATAATATTTCAAACAAAGGTTGGTATCAGACATCTTTGTTAACCACTGCTATATTAACCAGACTCTTGATATTTATCTATAAATAAGATTACTTTATTCCTCTGGCTCATAAGGAGGATATACCAAGATACCAAGATATCACAAAAAACAAAAACAAACAAACAAACAAACAGTACAATAGCTGTATTGCCTAGAAATTCCCTGCTCTGTAAAGTAGGCAGGTGTCTCTATTGACATGTTTCTGTTTATTGGGGTTTAATTTCAGGTGATGGCAGTTAAGGCAGTTGTGGCAGAGGTGGTGAGGAGGTCCTTAAGTATGGATGTCGTTGTGTGTGTGTGAGTGTTAGAAAAAAAATCGCTGTCTGAATGTTTGTGTGACTGGGTGAATATTATTTGTAATATGAAACGCATTGAGTGCTCAACATGAGTAAAAAGGCGCTACAGGAGCATCACAAAAGTAAAATACTGAGGATATTAATACTTTAACTTCATACAGAGAGTAAATTTAGTGTTTTTACAACTACAAAACTAACATTTTAACTACTGATTTTATCTATTGTTCTGATTTTATCTGTTTTGATTTTATATACTGTTTTGTTTGTTTGTTTGTTTGTTAATTAGTTAGTTAGTTTATTTGCTTGTTTTAATCAATTTTAAATCATGCTTTTTATTTGTTTTTGTTTCTAATGTCTCCGTAAAGCACTTTGAATCACCTTGTTGCTGAATTGTGCTACACAAATAAACTTGCCTTGCCTTACAATGTTGATGAATATGTTACTGTACTGGCTGGGACTGTGGAGTAATTTTATGCTCTCTATAACAACCGCTCATTATCAAGCATGTCATGTAGAGCATTAAAGATGGGAAAAGACTACTTTCTTTATAAACCATTAAGTGAAAGTCAAACAGTATGTTAGATCAAACGGGGGAATCTCAGAAACGACAGGAGATGATAAATCTCATTCCTAGGAACAGAGGCGGTTTATTACGTTACTATTTTAAAGAGACAAACTCGAGATATTAAGCTTAAAGCTTATGAAATTGCAAAATTAAACAGCAATGTCACCCTGTGGTGTCCAAGCTTCAAACTGCAGCTTATGTTAGCATGGCTAGCCCGTTAGCATCCTTACCGTTCTGCTGTTGCACGAGGAGGGATGACACGAGTACCCCGCAGAAGAAAAAGAAACCGGCAGCTCCACGCGGCCATTGCGCTCTCTAAACTACACACTTATACATATAAAATTAAACCTACAGAAGGATGACAAGCCTTCACTGAGGACTCTCATACACGCCTTAGTTTTCTGTGTAAATGTCACCCTGCATACTTCCGGTGCTCAATCATAACAGCTCCGTAGAACCGGTGCTCAGGGCAAAGGTTCCGCTCATGGCAGCCATCCTAACGGGATAACACAATAAACAGGGGCGTATCCAGATTAATTGTTATTTATTTATTTTATTTGGGTGGCAAGTGGAAAAAACAAGTATTCAGGCTTCAAGTAAAATTAAAAGTTATGTTAAAGTAGCTAAAGTAACCATACAGTGCCATTTATATACTGTATTTATTATTGGATCATAATTATTTATCCTTGACTAACTGTCCAGAGTGTAGCCCGCCTCTCGCAGTCTGACAGCTGAGATAGGCTTGAAGTTGATAGTCATGAAACCAAAACCAAACCAATGTGTGATGTAGATGAGGACTATGAAGGAAATGAATGGATGGATAATTACTGATTCACTGATATGTGGATATCTCTTTAATATCCCACCTGTTGAAGAATGAACATGAACACAGGACAAAATAATAATAATAAAGATAATTTTTTTAAAATGCTAAATTTCACTTTCACCTTACATAGTTGTTCAGTTATGCTAGCAGGCTTTGTCTAGTTTTCATTTAAATGTTGATGTTCAGTGAAGTGCAAAAATATCAAATAATAATAATAATAATAATTATTATTATTATAATTATTATTATTATTAGTAGTAGTAGTAGCAGTATTGCTACTTGTTATAATTCAGGTCAGCTAAAGTACTGGACTAGACATTTTTAAGTGGTTACTTTCAGAAGCCAATACCACAGTTGTTGTTGATTGTCCATGGCTGCAGACTCCCTGGTTAAGAGCGGAGCTGAACCGCTGCTGTTTGTCATTCCCGTGCTGTCTTTTCCAGATTTCCTGTCTTACTTCACTGGAAGTCTAACAGACAGGCAAAATGCCAAGGAAAAAAGAAGTTTTTATGTGACTCCTATGCTGTGAAGCTGATATTTCTGGTCTCTTCTGATGGGGCTTATCTATGATAGGGAAAGAGATATTAAAGGTTCATGAGCTGAATACAGATCTGACTACCAGAGCCCGAGGCACGCTTGGAGTGTCCTCTTAGGACAGCCCAACTTTGGCTCGCATTAATTAAACTGTATGGAGATTAGTGAAATAATTTATTCTAGCATTTTAATGTCTGTCTAGGAACGAGTGAAGGAAAGGCAGACATGTCAGTGTAGGTGTCTGTGGGCTGATGGTTTTTATCAGTGTGTGAAAAGTGTGTGGCATTTGGAGCTGTTGTGGAGTACGAGCTAACTTAATAACACGGCTGGCCATGTGGATTTTATTATAAATCCAGATCTTTGGCAGGGGTTATCAGAACTGCTACATAGTATTTGACATTTACACCATATGTTCTTGTTTTTTGTCACTATAAGGAAGACATCCCGTCATAAAAGATCACACTAAAATGAGAAAACCAAAGGGTCTTTATTATAATCAACATGCAGAACACAGAAGAAAAAAAACATTTTCAGCTCACAGATGAGTATCTACCACACAAGCGTTTCTATCCTCCCAAAACTCTTTACAATGTAAGAAGGTTATTAAGAAATTATTACAATTATTCAGTTGTTCATTCCATTTAGCAAAATGTCAAACAAATCTGTAGAAAAGAACCCCAAACACCAAAGACAACCCCAAATCTCACACAAATGACAAGATACTTTATTTCATAACTAGCAAGCAACTACTAGAAAAGGGGAATTAACAGGAGCTGAATAATGCATGCATTTATGCAGTACACAAACAGAAATGCTATCAATCCTATAAATAACATTTGCAATGCTAATTCTAAGCATTTCGGGTTATGCATCGCACATATTAGGTTCTATGATGACAGATAGTTTGGTCTATGCACTTGCTAGTTATCTAAATAAGGTAAGAGTGTCATTCTTTCCCCCAGTGAGCTAAGGTCTGCATATGCATGCTGTTTCAGAAGACTGTTCTTATTTCTATAAATACCTTTTTTAATGTACAGTAGATAATACAGCAGTTAATTTCCCAGGTGATGCCACTGTGGCCAAACATGCAATAGTCACCAATAGAGTAGTTCAATTTGTATCACCAGAACGAGCTAATTCTCTGAGCTAGTCTACTGTATGTAGTATTGTTTTGTGTACATGTTTGTTTGCGTATGTGTGTGCTTGTGCTTTTGGACATGTATACGTTTTATACAGTACTTAAATGTAGATATAGGATTCATACATGTATATGTAATTGTATGTATGTGTGCACTCAGTCCATTGTCAGGGGCTGAAGGTTCTTGTGGACTCATAATCTGACATGCACTTGGGTTTAATTCCTTTCGCGTTGTAGTAATCTACCACCTGGTTAGGGACTTCTGCCAAAACACTCTTAGCGAGGGCAGCAGGGGAGGCCTGGAAAAACAAACAGAGACACAAGAGGAGACAGGTCACTAATACACCAGTAACACCACGCATGCCTGAGTCGAGGATGCTGCTGAGTTTGATGCTGACAAAGGTTTAGACCAGTGAGACTGATGTGACCAGACAAGCTCATCTGAAAACCTCAAAACATCCCTCCTCACCTTTCTGTTCCGTTACACCCTGGCCTGGTTTATATTTTCTGCATCCATGCTGTAAAACGCCTAAGAGGCAAGTACATCACATCCTGTACTAAAGGACTCAGTAGGCTGCAACAATAAGCAACTATTTGCATTAGACCTTGCTAAGTACACCAGTGGAAAACAGTCCAGTTGTTCCAATGTTGTGATTTAATTACTTTTTTTTAAATTTGGGTCGGCTGACAAAAGTCTGTGGCAACTTCCTGAGAAGCACTTAAAAAATCTGAGTGGAAATACATTTTCAAACAAAGCCAAATTCACTTACTTGACATTATTAAATTAATGTGAGCTGTGAAGATGCCTGCTGTAAAAGTCATAAAAGTCAAACCGTGACTGTCATCATCTTATTTCCTCCAAATTCAAAGTGGGGATTAGATGGGATGTTAGGTTATACGAAGGGATTTGGTGAGTAGTTCATGACATGTCAGCTACTGACAGCGCTTTTAAATCTCTATTTGACCTTTTTACTTACTGCTCAACATATACACTCTTAATTCCACTTCATTAGGTACATTGTGCTAGTACTGGGTTGAAACCCCATTTTTCCTTCAGAATTGTCTTAATTCTCAATGGCGTGGACTCAACAAGGTGCTGAAAACATTCTTCAGACATTTTGGTCTGTATTGACATGAAACAGTTACTGCAGATTTGTGGGTTATACATCCATGATACAAATATCCTGTTGCACCACATCCCAAAGGTGCTCTACTGGAGACCAGGCAGGCTTCGGTATTTAAATGGTGCACAGTCGGTATTAAGCATTTAATGTCAAGGAAAATAAGACGCTTTGTAAACCGTGTGGAGCAACTTTCACAGCAACAGCATGACAAACTTTTACACTTTATATTTTAGTCAACTGAATCCACTTTAGAGTTAGTCTACAATAACCATATGATATTTAGTTGACTAAAACTAGACTAAGACTATAAGAAAAATAGACTAAATTATGACTAAAACTAAATAGCTTAATACTCAAAAGAATATGAATAAAACTAAATCAAAATGAACACCGTTCTTCTGCAGACCTGTTCTGTAACAAGTGCTTATTTAAGTTACGTTCATCTCGGCTCGAAGCATTGTGGCCGTTCTGAATATTTTCTCTTTTTCAGACTATTCTCTGTAAACCCTAGAGATCGCTGTGCAAGTAAACCCCAGAAGATGAGCAGTTTCCAAAATACTCAGACCAGCCTGTCTGGCACCAACAACCTTGCCAGGTTCAAAGTCACCTTTTTTCCCCACATTCTGATGCTGAGTTTGAACTTCAGCAAGCTGTCTTGACCATGTTTACATGCGTAAATGCATTGGGTTGCTGCTATGTGATTGGCCGATTAGATATTCATGTTAACCAACAGTTACATGGTTGTGTCTAATTAAGTGAATCCCTAAATTAAAAAGATTAAGAAGATGCTTAATAAAGAATGACAAGAATAGATAGTTGACTAAGTCTTTTAAAAATGTGTAAAATATACAATAGTCGTGTATATTACTGAAGAAAGAATGAAAAGAAATCCTTATCCTTTCCTCCAGCACATGTATTAACACACATTGTTACACACGGGCACACACACATACTGCCACAGCACTCACACTTCAGAATCCTCAAAGTCAGAGAGTCTGTCGTACTCCGTCTCACATAATTCCCCGAGACAATGCATCATCAAAGTGCTCCCACCCCAACCTCCTCACCCTTCCTCCTCCTCCTCTCATTTCCACCCTGCCTCATGCTTTCTCCTCTCTGCTCCTATCTACCTGTTATCCCCCACTCTGCCTGTCACCCAGCAGCTCCGTCCTGCTAATCCCCTCTGAAAAGAAACGACAGAGCAGAAAATCACCTCTCCACCTCTGTCACACACTCCCTCGCTCCCTTTTGTCTTTAGCTCCGGTCTCCTGCTGACCTCCTTCCAACACCAGCACCACCACCCATGGGCTGTCTCACATCCTCCACCCATCATCACCCTTCCTTCTCCTCTCAGTATGTCTCTGTCTGTCTTCATACGCGTCCGTGCGGCATGTTCATACTCCTTCCTCCCTTTCTATTACTGCGTAATTGTTTAATTTCCTGACTTGTCATAGATCAAGCTCACCATAACGAACCCAGCCAAACACATCTGGTAAAAGGCAGGCAAAATTAATGCCAAGACAGAGACACACACAAACACGCACATAAAAACACACAGAGAGGGCCGATAGCCAATAGTTGATGAGTTCTGACGAGCAAACCGAGCACGTTACGCCCACACAGTCACACTTTCAATCCCCTGAATACTGTAATCATATTCCCCACACACAAGACAGAAATTCAGAGTACAAATAAAATCCCAACACCTAACACTGAAATTGGTGTTCACAAATATATACACAACATTTGTGTTCTTCTGATTGTGTTTTTGTTTTGTTTAGTCTTAAATTACATTTTATTATTGTGCGATTTTGTTACTTGTCGTACTTTCTCAGTTTGCAC